TGGGAAAAAAAGGGGAAAAAATTTAGAGAATTTGCAGGGGTCCCCCCCATTCCCGCTAGGTGTCCCAGTCCGAGCCTGGCTGTTCTTCACCTTGAACACTTGAGCACTTGATAGGGCCGATTCCGCATGGTACGGGACCCCTCGATCGTCTCGCCCTCCCTCACTGTTCTTCACCTTCCTACCTAACCTAACCTAGCGGACCGGTGTAAATGAACAAAGGGAACTGGGTTCCCGCTGCTCGCGCGCTCGTCGCGCTGCCCCTCCTGGTGACGAGCCTGCGCTGCATGCAGTTTGCTCCTCCCTTCCTGCGAGGACCTGGCCTCGATCGAACCTGCTCTTTCCCATCCGTTAGTTATCCGATGACAGGGATACCGCCTCGAGAACGAGATACCGCCACAACCTCCATCGACCCGATGGTAACCCGATATCGCAACCCGATAGTACTCGAGTATCAAAAAAAGGAGGCATGCCAACCCCTCCCTCCCTCCCCCCCACCCCCCTCCCTCCCTCCCACCCTTCCTACCCGATATCGCAATAATGCAACTCGAGTAAAACAGCGCGAGAATGAAACGTAATGAATTCGCCGACGCGACGTGCGAGCATGGAAGATGGCATCTGAGCCCTGGCCTCGACACCTCGACACCAAACCTCGACACCAACTCGACACCTCGACACCCCATGCCAACTCGACACCCTCGACACCCCTCGACACCCCTCGACACCATCTAGGCTGAAACCATGCTCGACTGTGTCAAGGTGCCAAACTCGACACCTACCTCGACACCCCTCGACACCCCTCGACACCGCTCGACACCGCTCGTACGACACCGCTCGACACCGCTCGAACCACCTCGACACCTCTGATGATCCTAAACACAGCAGAGACGTAGACCCATTTGGAGTCACAGAGTTAGAGATCATGGTTGCAGCAGCAATCAAACTTGGCTGGGTAAGTACTTTCATCCCTCAGTTGCAGCCTCTCAAGTTCTAGCCCTGGTTCTAGCATAGAACCAAGTTGCAGCTCAGTTGCATCCCTGTTGATGTAGCAAACATGGCAGTACTCAGGTAGCCCTCAGGTGCTGCACAGCACCTTGTACAGTGGCAATGAATCCTCACACCAGTGAGCTTGTGCCATGAGTGCAGACCTGTGGTCCACATGCGCTTTGTGCACTGGCGACGCTCGGCTGCAACGGCGACGCTGCAGCGGCGGCGACGCTGCTGCGATGGGGTACTGTAGCCCTTAGCTGCTGGACAGCACCTTGTGCAGTGGCAATGCCCACTGACTCATGGCACCAGCCTTGTGAAAGGAGCGCTGTGGTCAGTTGCGCTTTGTGCGCCGGTGGCGCTGCAGGGGCGACGACGCTGCAGCGGCGACGCTGCTGCGGTGCTGCGCCTGCACAGCACCTTTGTGCACAGTGGCAATGACTCCCGGCACTTGATGTCCTCAAATGTCCACAGATAGTATGTATGTAACTAGTGAGAGCATTTGGGTTTGGGGAGGGCGCGAGTCCGAGTGGGAGACTTTTCGGCGGGCGTAGTGACAGTTAGGTAGGAACGGACCACCAGCGGCGTAGGAGTCCTACACCAAAGGACCGCACATGCAAAGGACGGGATCCCGCTCGTCGCATCCTTCGCGGAGTCCGGAATGATACCGCACATGCTTACGACCGAACCCGCCTCCAGGCCGACTTTCACGCGGGTCATGGCCTCCCGCAAGCGCGCCCGCACCGCCGGCGAAGGCGAGGAGGAGGGCGATTCGGTGCCGGTCGCGGATGGCTTCGAAGCGCCCATCTTTGGCGCGCGCGTCGTCGGCCAGGTCACCACGCTGGCGCTCGAGGGCGAGGACGGCCCTCTGGCATCGCTGCAGCTGTTGGCCGTCGCAAGCGATCGCGCGGGCGGCTGGTACGTCACGACTAAGGAGGGCTCGCTGCTGCACGTGTCGGCGGCCGGGCGCGTGCGCACCGTCGCAACCTGCGAGGAATGCCGCGGTATTGTCCTCAGCCCCGACGGCAGCGTGCTGTTTTTGGCGGGTGGCCACAAGATCCGGCGGGTGGAGGTGGCGACTGGCGCTGTGACTACGCTCGCGGGCAGCGGCGAAGAAGGCGACGCGGACGGCGTGGGCGACGCGGCGCAGTTCAACGCCCTATACGGCGTCACCATCAGCCCCGACGGCAGCGCGCTGTTTGTGGCGGATGTGGCGGACTGGGGCAGCAACAAGATCCGGCGGGTGGAGGTGGCGACGGGCGCTGTGACTACGCTCGCGGGCAGCGGCGAAGAAGGCGACGCGGACGGCGTGGGCGATGCAGCGCAGTTCAACGACCCATACGGCGTCACCATCAGCCCCGACGGCAGCGCGCTGTTTGTGGCGGACTTCTGGAACCACAAGATCCGGCGCGTGGAGGTGGCGACGGGCGCGGTGACGACTGTCGCGGGCAGCGGCGAAGAAGGCGACGAGGATGGCGTGGGCGGCGCGGCGCAGTTCGAGCACCCAGCCACTGTTGCCGTCAGCCCCGACGGCGGCGCGCTGTTTTTGGCGGACTACGGCAACCACAAGATCCGGCGGGTGGAGGTGGCGACGGGCGCGGTGACGACTGTCGCAGGCAGCGGTACTGCTGGCAAAGCTGATGGCGTGGGCGACGCGGCGCAGTTCTCATGCCCAGTTGGCGTCGCCCTCAGCCCCGACGGCAGCACTCTTCTGGTCCGCACGCGAACGGCTCTCCGCCAGGTCTGCGTGTCTGCGCCTCCGCCTCCCTCCTTTGCACCGATTGTGGTGCCGCCCTCGACCCTCGTGGCAGACCTGAAGAAGATGCGGGGCGACGCCAGCCTCCCCGACGGCAAGGTCACTTTCCTGGTCGGAAGGGAGGAGCAGCGCATCGAGCACGTGAGCAAGAACCTGCTCTGCGTGCGGTCCGAGTACTATGGGAAGATGTTTGGCATCGGCATGAAGGAGCGCGACGCCGCCGAGATCACGGTGCCCAAGACGGACCTCGCCAGCTTCACCGCCTTCATCGACTACCTCTGCACCGACCAGCTCGACCTCGGCGAGGGGGGGGGCGAGCAGGCGCGGCGCGCGCTCGTGCTGCGGGAGCTGGCGCAGATGTACCAGGTGCCGCGCCTCGAGCTGCTCTGCGCGCAGGCGCTGCAGGAGAGCGTCGGGCCGGCGAGCGCCGTGCCGCTGCTCGAGGCGGCGCACACGACGGGCGACGGGCGGCTCCTCGCGCAGTGCCGCCGCTACGTGGCCGACCACGCCGCCGAGGTGCGGGCGAGCGGCGGCGTGGAGCAGCTGCGCGACCTGGGCGTGGCCAAGGGGCTGCTCGGCGACGCGCTCGACCAGGTGGCGGAGCTGAAGATGGGGGCGGCGCGCACGGCGGCGGGCCGGAGGGCGGCGCCCGCCTAGTGTCTGGTTTGCGCGATCATCGCCTTGAGGCAGCCTCGCCTCGCACTCCGGCCTTTTGTCGCTTGCGTGGGGTCGGGTCTCGGGTGGCGCGATTCCGATTCGCGATTGGCAAGGCCGTGTTCACATCGAATAAGTCATCGTGTGATCACATCGGACTTCCTAACGGCGGCAATTGATAGATAGAAGGCGAAGAACTCAGAAGCTGTGCGCAAAGTGCCAAATAAAACAAGACAACAACGGCCAAGACGATGGCGAGGACGGAGGAGACACGGGACGACGGCAGGCGAGACGAGGAGGACAGAGGCGAGGGCAGAGACAGCGCCCATAGTCTGAGGGTATCCTAAAAGTTCGGCCGATTTGGGTCAAAACGCTAAAAGCACGGCTAGCCGTAGATTTGGGGCAAAACGACAAAAGTGGGCCCGCCCGGGGCAAAATGGTAAAAGTCGCGCCGCCGCAGGCGCGCGAAAATTTTGGACATTCTACTCTCCGGCGAATGCCACTAGCCCCCCCAAGCCGGCAGATGGTACCTCGGCAGCTGCAACCAAGCCAGCGGGTGAAGTGTTGTGGGAGGATGCGTCCTTATGTGTCACAAACTTGTAGCGCTACATGTCTGGACACACACCGGCGGGCGCTTTCGAGGGGCGAGCGGCAGCATTTTTTTAGCCATAGTGTGCGGGAACTACTTTGCCGTTGCGGGACGATAGGGATAGCTAGTACTTGCTGCACCCGCGGCGCGCAGCGCCGAAGAAATTTTTGAAACATGCTAAAAGTTGGGCGCTCCGAGACGACCAAATTGGTAAAAGTCGCACTCTCCCCTGACCCGATCAAAAGCGTAAAAGCACCCGAGGCTCCAGAAACCTAACCCTCAGACTATGGACAGCGCCGCAGTCGACGGAGGCGACAACGATGGAGAAGGGGAGGGAACGAAAACGCGCACAGAGGATGAGGACATAAACTGGGACGACGCAGCGGGGGGGACGCGACGAGGGAGAGCCGCAGGAGCCCTCTGTGGAGCAGGCGCGCGAAAGCAGCGATGAGTGGCGCTTCGTCAGCCACCTGTGGGCGGCCACCGGGGTGACGGTCAAGCTCGCGACGGGGTGAATCTGGTGCGTCTAGTATCACTGGTGGGCAGGGTCTGCAGCAGCAGCGCTCAAAAAGAGGGAAAAAAAGCGGCTGCTACTTTGACTGTCGACTCTCTCGACGCACCGTGCTCGGCCCGGCCGGAAAGCTGGCTGGTGGTCGCGCGCAGCGCGTCGGCGGGCTCCGACTGGTTGGGCACCTCGGCTGGGTCCATCGGCAAGAGGCCCGCGCCGTCGGCCAGCCCCGCGAGCGCATGATGCCCCTCCGAGAGGCGCTGACGCCCCGCCGAGATCGCGCTGGTTTGCCACGAAAAGACGAGGCGTCCAGGGGGGGGGGTCAAGTATGTTACATCATACTGCTCTTAACGTTTGACAACCCTAACGGCACTCTGCGCACACCGCACAAAAACCCACTCCCACGACAGCCGCACCAGCTAGTACGGAGGCGGCGGACGGAACGGAATGCCTCCACCTTGCCAGTTACCGCGGGGCCCACCTCTGCCGCCCGGTCCGAAGCCCGCCCCTCCCCTCCCTTCTCCCCCGCCCATCCCAAATGCGCGGGCCTGCATCCTCGCCTCGGCCCGGTTGCGCGGGGGGGGCATGCCTACCGACGACAGGGCGGGAGGAGTGAGAGAGGCGAGACCGCTCGACGCTCGGAGGCTGCGCGGCTACAGCCCCACCTCCCATGCCGCCGCCCATCTGGCCCATCCCCATCATGCCGCCCATCGTCATGCCGCCGCCTGAACAGAGCCAGCCAGGCGTGAGGAGAGCGAGGGAAGAGCGCGAGAGTGATGAGAGGCGGCGCGCCCATGCCACCCATCGGGCGCATCCCGCCCAGGCCTCCCCCGTAGCGGCCGCCGCCGCCGCCGCCGCCGCCGCCGCCGTAGCCGCCGCCACCGCCGCCGCCGTAGCCTCCTCGGCCGTATCCTCCTCCGCCGAAGCTTTCGTCAGCCATGCCGACCGAGTGCGGCACGACCGAGGCGGCGATCGGGAACTCCAGCGGGCCAGTGTTGCGCACCTCGACCACGCTGCCGGAGCGGGGAGGAGGGCAGGCGTGAGGCGGGCGAGGCGCAGGCTGAGAGCACCGGTGGCGGCAGAGGCAGCGAGAGAGACACCTGCCATAGCCGGGCGTCTCGAGAATGTAAAAGATGGGCCGCTCGCGCCCGTCGTCCGTGTACAGCTCGATGCCCTGCCGGTTGGTGTTTGGGCCCTGCACGATCTCGATGGTCGCATTGACGGGAAGGCCGTCGCTCCGGAGCAGGACCTGCACGGCATCAACGTAAGGGCCGACAGGGTACGTCCTCAGAGAGCCGCCCTGCACGGTCGAGGCGGACTCGAGGCACTCGATCGACGGCTGCTCCGCCCCGCCTCCAAAGACGCCGACGTCCGACATTGGAAACTCGAGTGGGCCGGCATTGCGAACGGCAATCGCGTTGGACCTCGGGTGCCGCCCCCGCATCCCCACTGTGCCGCGAACGGGGCGGAGGTTGCCGTTCTCGCCATACACGCGCATGCGAAATGCCGTGTTGTCCGGCCCCGACCAGAGCTCGACATTTGCGTCCATCGGCCGTCCTTCCGTGCCGAGAAAGAAGCCGCCCTCCTCCGCCCACGGGTCGGGAGAGTGCCAGGTGCGCAGCGAGCCGCCCTGGAGCTGCATGGCTGCCGGCGAAGCGAGCCGCGCCGAGGAGGGGCCGGGCGCAAGCCAGGGAGCGCCGAGCAGCGATAGCAGCATCGTGGATGTGGTGCGGCGCTGTCTCTCTGTGCTTGAGCCGGCCTTGTGCTTGTGAGCCAGCCAATCCAGCGAATCCTGTCGCCTGCGTGTTGGAATCCGCGTTGTGGGTGAGCCATAGGAGGTATTTCTTCTCAATAACAAGCAACAAACAAACAACAAGGCTGTGAGAAGTTAGTTCTCGTCCTCCCGTGTTGTGAGAAAGTTCTCTCTCTCTCTCTCTCTCTCTCTCTCTCTCTCTCTCAACGCTCTCTCTCTCTCTCTCTCTCTCTCTCTCTCTCTCACACACACACACACACACTCTCACCCTCTCTCACGGGCCGCCGGGCCGGGTCAATCACCGGAGGTCAATCACCGGCGCGGCGCGCAAGCGCATCTCGTCCTGCACGGAGAGGAGGCACAGCCTCCACCCCTGCGCCGCGGTCGCCAGCCCGCTAACAAAGGCGCGCGCCGCCCGCTCCTGTCCCGCCTGCGCCCTGGAGACCGCCGCCGACTCGGGCCCTTGCTGCTGCGCGATCAGCAGCCGCTCGTGTCTCGCGCGCCGGCCCTCGGGCGCGCTGCCCCCCGCAAACGACTCTCGCCCGTAGCAGACCCACTCACGGCGCGGCGCGCGCGTGCTCGCGTTGAGCCGCTCGAGCATCGGGCGGAGGCGACGCATCCACCTGTGAGCGTAGAGGGGCCTGGTAAGGGGGGGGGGCGGGCGCTCCGCTACGTATCGCTCTCTGCGTGCTCCTCACGCGCACCGCTCGCGCTGCTGCCGCACCACCTCCTGCGCGTGCCTCCTGCGGTTGAGCTCCGCCTCGTGCGCCGCCATCGCCGCGAGTCGGGCAGGCTCGAGCTCGAGCTTGTGCACCGTCACCTAGACATTTCCTAGACACTTCCTAGACACTTCCTAGAAGGCTCGAGCTCGAGCTTGTGCACTGTCACCTACACGAAGGCTCCGGCGCGGCTCCGGCGCGGCTCCACTCATCGAGCCCTCGCGCGGGACGTCGCCTGCGTGGCCAGCTCGCGCACCGTCGGGCCCGCGTCGCCCACCTGTTCACGGCTCGACCCGTCACGACGCGGCCTTCGCAGCTGGCTCGTTCGGGCGCTAGCCCCCCCCCCCGGGACCATGTCGCTCAGCGCGACAAAGTCCACCGACAAGTTGAGGGCCTGCGAGGCCTCGAAGATGGCGTACCCCACCTGCGGGGCGCGCATGTCGCGTCGTCGCCCGCTCGGACGCGCCGACGCACAGGGTTGCGGTGTCGCACAGGCGTGTGTCGCGAGCGCGTACCGTCAGGTCCTCGGACTGGCACTCCCACGGCTACATCTCCCCACGTCTCCCCACATCTCGCGTACCGTCAGGTCCTGGCACTCCCACGGCTGCCAAATCGCCCCACATCTCCCCACATCTCCCCATATCTCGCGTACCGTCAGGTCCTCGAACTGGCACTCCCACGGCTCCCACCACGGCTTCGCCCACGGCAAGTGGTTGCGCTCGTCTGGGAAGCGCTCCCTGCGGCTGAGCGAGGCGCGGCGGACGAACTCGGCCGCGTGCGGCCCCGTGAAGGTTCGCGCCGCCAGCGGTCGCGAGAGCACCTGCAGGGCGCCCGTCGCAAAAACAAAGGGGCCGCGAGTGGACGCGTTGATCGGCTCGCCGGTCGAGACGCCGCGCACGTAGCAAAAGTGGTGGTTCTTGCAGACGTTGCACCCACCGCGGCTCAGAGCGCCGTTCGGCCCGCCCGACCATCCGCACGGCACGTTGTACTCTGGCAGGAACGACGCGTACTGCGGCCAGCCCACGTACAGCATCCGGCCAGATGCGACCAGCGAGCGTGCTCTCAGGATGTCGGCGAGGTTGCCATAGAGGTTGAGCGAGTCGTCGTCCGTCTTTGCGAGGAAGCTGGCCGCAGGAAAGGCGTGCACCGCGAGCGCCCACCACCCAAAGGACTTTTCGACACACGCAGCGCCCGTCTCGTCAGCTTTCCCCGTCACAATGATGTCGCCGTGCTGCAGAATCTCTTGCTGGATTTGAGATGTGTTCTTCATGATGCAGCCGACAACAAAGCGCTGGACAATCTGCGGTTCTTCGAAGCGCATGAGTGCAGCACGCAGGAACGTGCGCCGGAAGGGCAGCCCGGGGCTCGTGATCACACCAATCGCGAGCAGCAGTCTGCGGCCGTCCTGCACCCTCGGCAGCGTCGGACGCAGCTGGCAGGGAGGAACGCGTGGGAAAGAGGTGCCACGCATCTGTGCTCTTCGCGGCCGGAAAGCAGAGTCGGACATTGAGACGAACAACGCCGTGGGGCCAGAGTGTAGCCCGCCGCGTTGTCCCGCACGAAAAGAATTTGGCGCGGCCCCGAGATCGCCCGAGATAGCGCGAGATCGCCCGAGATCGCGCGGCGCGGCCCGGGGCGGGGTGGATGGGTTGGGAGCGAGGGGGCGGAAGTGTTCAGTGCGGTAGATGGCGAGCTCGAGGCGCGTGAGCCGGACCTGTGAGCCGGACCACCCCCTCTTGTTATCTGCGTTGTTGAGCCAGGACTCAACATACTCGGGCTTGCGAGTCCCAAACTGTCACTCCCCTTTCTCCCGGCCGGGGTGGGGCGCGCGCGGGGGCGGCGGGTGTGCGGCGGGTGTGAGGGATGTCTGTGAGCCCGAGAGCGATATGCCATGTCCGCCTTGCGTTGTTTCATAACATCGAAGGCTAAGCTCAAAAGAATTTTAGCATCTCGCACAACACTGGGGACTGGCGTGCACTGGCACTAACACAGGTACACCACGAAAAGAAACCTGTGAGGCGTTTTCTTTCCTAATTTTCTTCTCGGCTTTAAAATCCCTGTGAGCTGTGTGGTGGCGCTGGCGGCGTGCCGTCCTCCCATCCGCATCCAGTCCCTCCCTTGGGTTGTCTGTTTTCACTTCCTCTTTTTCTTCTCGGCTTTTCGAGGTCAGCGCAGCCCGTCATAAATCTACACCAACCGCAACCCGAACACCGCGTCACACACAAGACTGAAAAGAAGAGTCTCTCAGAACTGCCCCTTTGCAGCATTGGCTGGGAGCATGCGCGCGTGTTGGCGCCGGTTGCATCACGCGCGGCAAAGGCGCTCAGCGGAGAGCGGACGGATCGCACAGGCGCTCCCCGGCCTCGCCGCGAGTTGGCCTGGCAGATGGCTAAGACGACGACGAGAGGGCGAATCGCGCGTCTCGGCTAGCGTACTCTTGCTTCGACTTGACGTAGGAGCGCGGCCGTCCCGAGCAGCACGAGCGCACGAAGGCGAGCGCCTCGACCTCGTCGCGCACGATCGCCGTCGGCTGTGGTGGGAGGAAGACGCGCTGCAGCAGGCGGACGAGCTGCCGTGCGATGGGGTTGCGGACCAGCACGACGTGCGCCTGGACGTGCGTGTCCCACGCCTTGACGTGCTGCTCCACCCAGTCGTGCACGCGCCGCATCATCCCCTGCGACAGCCTCGGCCAGGTGATGCCACGCGGGTCCCACTCGACGGTGAAGGCGCGCCGCTGCCGCAGCACGCGCGTCATAAAGGCCTGCGCGTCCGCCACCGAGTCCTCGTCGAACCGGTGGCCGGCCGAGATCCGCAGGATCGGGTGCCGCAGCCCCTCAGGTCTCTCGAGCACGACCCGGCCGCCGTGCGCGAGGCTCTGAGGACCCAGGAGCACCTTGCCCCGAGAGGCCTGCTGCTCGCCGGTGCCACCCAGCGAGATGAGTTGCGACACCAGCTCCCAGGACGGGCGGGCGCACGGCGCCGCGACAGCAAAGAGGAAGAAGATGCCCGCCCAAGCGTAACGCCGTCTCCCGGCGTCAGAGTTACCCTGAGCCGCCTTGCGCGGCTGCGGCTGCAGCGGTGGCGCGCTGGTCTCGTCGAATGTCAGGCGGGAACGTCCGCCGGCGCCCATCGTCTCTCTCCTTGAGAAGAAGAGCGGCCGGCCGGCTTTTGAGAAGCGAATAGAGAGCGGCCCTAGAGCGACGAACCTGGACCGACACACTGTGAATATCCCCAGGGCCTCCAGGGCTCGCACCTCAACCTCTCACAGGCCAGCGCACAGCGCCATAGGAGGTATTTTCTTCTCAATAACAAGGCTGTGAACGGGAGCAGAATGTAGAGTTCGATCCTTAAGGAATACAATGTAGGACCAGGAAGACGCTGGGAACCAGGATGTAGGAAGACGTCTGATCAGAGCTCAGACGCCGTTCACACCGTCTCCCCAACTATCACACTCACACTGACAAGTTGGAAGCAATGAATCGCCTTATCTCTCACACTCCCCCATTGTCTGCAGAGACAACAAAGGTAAGGCGTTGCGCTGATCAGGGGCGCGAGCTAGTGAACGTGGCAAGGTGAGCTAGTGAACATGGCAGGTGACCTTCCGTCTCCCGCGCTGAAGGTAGTAGAGCCTATCGGAGCGGTCGACTGGATGTCAATTGATTGTGAACAGCATGGAAGAGGCCGATCTAGTAGATCAGCGGACGAGCTTGGCTCGGTGCTTGAGGAAGGTCGTCTTGTCGAGGGCCTTCGTCCAGATAAAAGTCAGTCCGGCCTTCAAGTGCTCCAAGGCCCAACTTCAGGCGGCGTGCCGTCCTCCCATCCCTCCCTTGGGTTGTCTGTTTTCTTTCTTTCTTTCTTTGCCCAACTTCAGAATCGTGCTTCAGGTAGGTTTGTGGCTGGGTTGGGTTGGGTTGTTGGAGGTGGGTTGGGAGACTTTAGGAACCAACTTTCTTGGGTTGGGTGAGTGAGAGAGTATTCTTGATACGAAACCACGACGACACACAGGTACACCACGGGAGCCGCCTAAGCGACTCCTGCGAGGGTGGCGAGGCACTTAGCTCCGTGCACCCGCCTACCCCCGCATATGAAAAGAATTTTACAAGCAAATCCCTCGCACGACACTAGGCACGGGACTGGCGCGCACTGGCACAAAACAAAACAGTGTTAGAGTTGTTGGTATTGCTAAAAATCTCTCTCTCTCTCACTGGCACTAACACAGGTACACCATGAAAAGAATTTAAACAAAACAACTCTCTCTCACAGCACACAGGCTCGACACAGGTGCGAACTGGCGCGTGCTAGTACTATCACCGGCATGAAAAGAATTTTACAAACAAACTCCCTCGTACGACACTAGGCACGGGCGGGACTGGCGCGCACTGGCACTAACTAACATGAAAAGAATTCAAAAGATAGAGTCAAGTGAGAGAGAACGACGAGAGTGGGACGACCGCGAGGTGGCATGCGTCGGGCCGAAGCCCGTCAGGCACTCTCTCCCTAACCCTAGCATTCTCCCGAACCCTAGTGTGTGTTGGTTGCCTCTGTCCGGCACCAACTTGATTCGTAGATGCGCGTCTCCCCCTCCCCCTATGTGCCGCCACCCCCCTCCCTCCAATCCGTAATTCCGTAAAATCGCGCGAAAAGCGCCCTAATCGAGCTGGAGAGCGGCCCCCAGCCGCGTGGGAGCGTGCCCCAGCTAGCAGGTGCTGGAGGGTCTGCTCAACGAGCTCGGGACAGCCGACCTCAGTACGCTCGAGCCCATGCTCAAGCACGATACAGGCGCAGTGCTCGACGCGATCCGAAGCACCACTGCAGCCGCAGAGGCTGGTGCGGCGGTTTATGCCAGCTCGGCCACGAGCAATGTTGTTGTGTGCCCAAGCAGCACTGCCACCGCTGGCGTAATCTCTGGTCAGCACAACGGCAGCATCTCCCGCACTCTCGTCAGCACAGACGCGCAAACCACGCTAAAGGGCTCGGACATCCATGCAGCCGCGAGTAGTGCGAGTGCTGAGGTGCTGCTCCGGCAGGAGTTGGAAGAGAAGTTGTGGTCACAGACCAAGGAGCTCGCTTCTGAGCAGCGCTCTGCGAGCGCTGTGAAGAAGGCGCTCGCATCGGCGCGGGCTGAGCTTGCTGCGGCACAAGAGCGTAGGCGTTCCGACCGCGACAACCTGAGGACAGCGCAGCAGGCTGCTAAACGTGACATCAAAACGGCCGAGCGGATGGCCGACGAGGTATCACACGCAGCTCGAGCTGATTTTGAGTGGCGTATCGGCGAGATGCGGGCCAAGATCCAGGCCGAGCTGCGCGAGCAGCTCGACGCGCTGCAGATTTCGATGGAGGCAGAGGCGAGGCGCGCTGATGCCGCAGAGGCGGAGAGGTCAAGGCTGTACGACAAGATGGAGGGGATTATATGCGCACGCGACAGAGGTTGATAGTCGCACTCGCAGGGGCGCAGCGCAAGCGCGAATATAGTGATTGTTAAGACGGATATACGTAGCGTTACAGTCGCACGTCGTCGCCCTCCCACTGTGTGCGCCGCCCGCGCGGACCCCGGAGAGCTGCTGCGCGTGCACAGACACTCAGACAGCGTTGCGCGAGCATTGGAGAGGCCAGCCTCCGGCTTCTCAGCGTGTCGCGAGTGCTGTGTCTCTGCCTGCCCGTTGTAGCTGGGTGCGGCGGGGGAGTCTCTCGTGGTTTTTTGTTACACGATTTACGGACTTACGGATTTACGGATCCACCCCCCTCCCTCCCCGTCCCGCGGTCCGGCCGTGAGACGCGCATCTACGAATCAAGTTGGTGCCGGTGTGCTTTCAGGAGAAACTTTCACACCTCGCCCCGTCGTGTCCAGGCCCCGCATTGTGTGATTGCGGCGGACCCGCGTCCACGACTACGTCGTCTCTAGAGAACGTATACAACCCCCTTCTGGTGTCAGCGGCCCTTAGAGCGACGAACCTCGAAAAAAGAAATTTGCGCTTGGCTGCCTGTTTCGCACCGCTCTCCCACGCGCCCGCGGGCGGACCCTCACCGCGCACAGCTCACTGCAGCCCCAGCCGGTACAAGGCGAGCACCATCGGGTTCGGGCGCTGCTCCTCGTTGTACTCGTCCTCAAAGCACTTCTCGGGCGGCGGGAGGAGGTCCGAGAAAGGCGGCTGCTGCAGGTTCCAGGAGCGATACTTGACGCCGACGGTCAACATCTCGGCGGAGTTGTCGCCCCGCGCGTAGTGTGAGAGGAGCAGGAGCCGCGCCCCGCTCTGCGCGATGTGCCTCAGTGCCCGGACCGCGTCTTCGGCGCTCATGTGGTTGAGGCATTGCCGGCATAGCAAAAGCTCGGCGGCCACGGGCAGCGGACTGGCCACCACGTCGTGCGCCCGGAAGGCGACCGCCGCGTAACGCGGGTCCGCCGACGCCGAGGCATAGGCGGCGGCCGCGATGTCGATGGCAGTGACGTGGAGAAGTGGGAACGAGGCGAGTTCTGGGCCCAGCCAGTTCAGATCGCCGCAGCCAACGTCGATCAGGCTCTTCACGCCATTCGAACGGACCACCTCCGCCACTGCACGGGCGGCGCCTTGGGCATTCGCTACACTGCTCCCAGGTCCCGACGCAGACTCGCCGGTGCCCCAGAGCCGCCGCTGGTATATTAGCGAGAATGCTGTCGCTCTGTCCTCAAGAACGCCCGTGGCGATACTCGAGCCGGACGTCTTCGCGCGGCACATCGCGAGGATCGCTTGCTGGTCCATATCGTTCCTCCAAGTGCGAGTGCGCTTCTTAGCAACTCGGCCCCGGTTGTGAGGCTGATGACCGCACTCCCAAGTGCCTGAAATGCAAGCTTAGCTCCCCGGCCCTGGGTGTGCGGGTGCTGACTGCAACAAAGTGCGTGGAAGCTGCGCCGCACTGCTATTCGCCAGGAAATCGAGGAAAAAGAAAAGGCGCGCGCCTTCTTCCTTTTTACTTTTTGATAACAAGGCACGAACTCTTTGGATATAAATCATCAATTCCCGTGCCTTCCTCAAGAAGGCAAGGGGAGTTGGGCGGCGTGGCGCGTGGGCGGCCGGGCTGCCGCCCCGTGCTGCGGGCCTCTTCAGCGCCGCGCGCGTCAGCGCTGCAGCATCTGCATGCACTGAGTCTGGCGGTGCGACGTGAGCGCCGGCGCGCGCCTCGCCTCGCGCCTCCGCGCGTCGCTGCGCTGCGTGGAGGCGAGTAGGTTGCCAGAGGGCGGCTGCGCCTCGAGCTGCAGCCGGCGCAGCTGGCGCCGCGCATCGTCCGAGTGGTTGGTGTACTCGAACGCCTGCGTCGCGTCGCGGCCGGCAGACGCGGCGAGCAGCTCCGGCCCTCCCGGGTGGTCTAAGAGCATGGGTGTCGCGTCGTGCCACGCCCCGTCGATCTGCGGCAAGGTCCCGGCGTGAGGCGGGAGCGACACCTCGACTCCGTGACACCGCTGTGTTCGTGGGTAGTTGGATGAGGGCGAGGCTCGGGGCGAGGGCTGGTGAGGTGCGAGCCTTGAGCAGGACACGCCCGGCAGTGCGATAGGCGCGCTCGGCCCAGTCGCCGCAAAACTCAAAGTAGTGCTCTCGCCACCGCTCGCCGTGGCGCGGCGCGGCCGCGGCCAGTCCGAGGAGCGAGCAGAGCGGCGCGAAGGAGCGGCAGAAGAGCGGCTCCCAGAGCGCGTCGGCAGCGGAGGCGTGGAAGAGCGTGCGGCAGGCCTGCGCAGCGTTTGTGATATCGCGGGCGCCGAGGTGGAGGAGGATGTGGTCGAGGGCGTCCGATGGCAGATTAATGAGGCCGCAAGCCGCATCGGGGTCATCCGGCAGCCGGATGCCTGTGCTGCTCGGTGATGTCGCCGCTTGATGAGGTTCCGTCTCGGGCGGTGGGCCTGCGCTGAGCACGAGCGCGAAAGTGGACGCGAGCTCGTTGGCGGAGCCGAAGTACTGATCGACCAGGTCGCGCCAAGTAGAAGAAGAAGGAGAAGACAAAAGAACAGGGGAAGCCTCGCTCATTCCCTTGGCGCGCACTGGATGGGGTTGATTGAAACGAGAATTCTTGATAAATGAAAAACCCCGTGAAGCGCCCAGACCGGAAACTCGAGCGAGCCCAAGCAGCGCCGGGACGCTCCTCTCCACCGTGATGCTCCTCGCCATCAGAGATCAGTTTGTTTGTTTTCGCCATCATCGTCACCACGACGTGGCTGCGGACGGGCGTCGCCCACGACATCGTGCGCCCGCTCTCCAACGTCGCCGAGATCCCTGCCTCGCCTGCCAGGAGCGGCGTCGAGCTCATCGCTGGGCAGGTGCGCGGGTAGAGCTCTCCACCATACTCTGCCGCGATCCCGGCGCGCGCGCTAGACGCCGACTCGGAGGCCGCACCGGTCAGGCGCGCAGCCGGAGAGAGAGGGACGCCGTCTTTCACAGCCTTAAATACGTTCACAGACCTTGTTATTGAGAAAGAAATACGTCCTATGGCGCTTTGCGCTGGTCTATGAGAGGTTGAGGTGCGAGCCCTGGAGGCCCTGGGGATGGGGGGAGACTACCCGCGGGCCTACAAGGCCCGCGCGCAGGGGGGTGGGACATTGAGATTGAAGGCGGAGGTGGAGGGGGGGGGCGGCAGGTGCTTGGCGGGTGCGGCAGAGCGGAGACCCAGAGCAGCGGCAGCCGCGAGCGGGTTGGATCCTTCGGTGACTGCCGCGGCCTGCAGCCGCGCCGTTTGCAGAGAGCGCTGACGCCGTCCATCCGTCCGCCCGCCACAGGGCTTCCGCCCGTGTCGCCTCTGATGCCGATGGCCACGGCGAGCGTCCTGCCCCTCACCACGTACGGATACGCCGCGGTGATCGGAATCTCATGCGGATCGTGGCTCACCTTCTTCTGGCTCGGTGCAAAGGGGATGCAGGTGATGTTTGGCGACGACGATGTCGAGGGCTCGCCGCGCTGGCGGCGCGCGAGCAGATTCGCAGCCCGCGCTCGCGCCGCCGCCCCGCTCACCAGGGCCGCCGCCGCCACGCAGGTGCGCGTTTGGCACGCTCAACCAGCTGTGCCTGCTCCCCGCCATCTTCCTGGTCGCGTGGCTGAGCGCGGGCCGCTCGATGGGCGGGTGGGAGCGCGTCCGGCTGCACGAGCAGCTCCGCGCCGCGGTGCGCGCGGCGCAGGGCGCGGCGGAGGAGGCGAGGGAGCGTCTCGAGCGGCTCGCGGCGCAGAGCGACGCCGCCGCGCTCAAGCTGCGTCTGGAGCGGATGGCGGCCGAGTCGTGCGGCGCGGCCGAGCGGATAGCGCACGGTGGGCGCGAGACGGCGGAGCGGCTGGTGGCGGAGGGGCGGCACTTAGCCCTCGAGGGGCGCGAAAAGGCGGAGCGCTTCGTCGCAGAGGGGCGCGCCTCGGGGGGGAGGCTGGCGGCGGAGGGGTCGCGGCTGGCGGCGGAGGTGCGGGACCAGGGCCTCGACGCGGCCGAGCGGCTCGCGGCCAGCGTAGGCGCGCACTTGGCGGCGGCGGGGTTCAGCGCGGCGGAGCGGGCGGAGTTCAAGGCGGCCGAGGCGGAGGGCGGCGTGGGCTCGCCCCTCAAGCGGCCGGTGCTGACGGCGGTGTCGGAGGTGTCCTTCTGCACCGTCTTCGCCGCCTTTATGATTTGCGACCTCCTCTTCGTGCCCGCCTCCGCCCTGCTCGTCGCGCACCACGCCGCCTGCCTCGTCTGCCACTTTTGGGCTATCTTCACACGACCACGCGGCGCGCTCCTTCCGTCCCCGCCCCCGCTCCCCCCGAGCCCCCCCCCGCTCCCCCCGACCCGCCCACTCGCACCCACCCTCCTCTCTCTCGGGCCGCGCCTCCCCCCTCGTCTCGCAGGCTCTCCTTTGCATTCTGTTTCATCACCGGTAGATGACTTCTGAGCGAATGACTCACTCCTCTCGCAGGCTTCCCGCTCTACTTTGCGGGCGTCGTTCTTCTCGAGCTCGGCTCCGGCTGCTGCAACTGGCGCGCCGCCGGCCGAGAGGAGGGGCGGGCCGGCGAGGCGTCCGCCAGAGCGAGCCGCCCCCCCCCCCCCCCCCCCGAGCG